CACTACCCCCAGCCCTTCACCTTTCAGATGGGTGAGAGCTTCCTCTGGGGAATCTGCCCCAGCCCCCACAGAAAGACTAAAATCCTGACACAAGAGCTTCTGAAAAAAGAAGAAGGAGAAGGCCCACAAGGAGGAGGAGGAGTCCTAAAGCAGCAAGGGAGGCCTGGGGGAGAGCTGTCTGAGAAGCAGTTAGAACTCCAGGCCCCAACTGCACTCCACACTGCTGGGTTATTGCCAGCAGAAAGCTAGAAATTTATTCACTGGAAAGAGTAAAAGAGAAAGTCCTTGATCAACAACATAGTTCAGTGACCATACACAATGAAGTATGAATATTGATGTCCCAGCCAATTGCCCTACTGGCTGCAGGAACACAGGCCCCAGCCCTTCACCTTTCAGATGGGTGAGAGCTTCCTCTGGGGAATCTGACCAGCCCCCACAGAAAGACTAAAATACTGACACAAGAGCTTCTGTAAAAAAAAAAAAAAACAGAAGAAGAAGAAGAAGAAGAAGAAGAAGAAGAAGAAGAAGAAGAAGAAGAAGAAGAAGAAGAAAAAGACCCACCTAGATCCAGTGAAATTCCAAGTCAATAAGCCTTACTGACAGGCCCGAAAAGCCTCATCTCATGAAGAGAAAACTAAGGATTAATTTCCGAACACTTGATGGAAACCCCTAGCATGGAAGATACATAACTACAAACAAATAATACAAACAGAAACAAGAGAGCATTCTTGGACAAAATAAGAGACTGTATGCGTGGAGGAAAAAATAAAGAAAAATAAACTATCAGTATAACTCCTCCAGATAGGTAAAAGAAGATATTGTGGTCATAAAATCAAATAGTGGATCCTATAAAAACAGAAGGATTCAGAAAACAAAAATTGAACTCAATAGTAGGGTTGAAGAAACAGAGAACAAAGTAGATAGTAAAGACAAAAATAAAATAGAAAAGATAAGACAATTAAAAGAACAGGGCAAGCAATCCAATATCCAAATAAAGACTTTCCAAAAAGAGAGAACAGAGAAAATGGAAGGTATAAATCATCAATGAAATAAATCAAGGACATTGCCCTGAACTGATAGGTAGGAGTTTCTAGACTGAAAGTGTTCATCAAGTATCTGGCCCAGCTGACTTGCACAGCACTTACCATACGTGCATCAGTTACCCTTCTAATTGTTTTACATACATTAACTTATTTAATCATCACAATAACCCTATAAAATGGGTGCCTTTATAATTATTACTCCCATTTTACAGATAAAGAAACTGATGTACAAAATGTGCCCAAGATCTTTAAGTGGAAGGCCCAGGATTTGAAGGCAGGTAATGTATGCCCAGAGCCTACTACACAATACACAGGAGAGAGCATCATTGTGAAATTTCAGAGTATACCAAAGACAGCTCTAGCTGATTTTTTAATGCTAGGGCTACTAATTTGATAGTGCACCCAGAGTCCAGGCTCTGACCAATCATCTGAGGTGAACCCCATGCAGGTTTCCTTCTCTCCAATATCCTGTCCTACAAATTCCAGTCCTATCAGAAGCTCTAAATTCCAATTCCCATCTCCAGGCTCAAGAAGAACACTGCTCTACACTTGGGTTCACTTGCCTATACCACAGCCAGAAAAGCTTTTCTCGGTGAGTCAGAGGAGAATGTGATGCTCACCTCCCATCTCAAGGAGCACAGAGCCTCACTGGTTGCTGTCCAACACTTGATGTATTTGTCCAGTTCTGCAGTGGTTCATGGCAGGATAGCAAGTCTGAAACCAGCGCTTTTATACCCGCATTTTTATTTGACCCTCACATTGAAATAATTGTGGGATCAAAATTCTTTTCCTTCAATACTTTAATGTTATGCTCTTATATCCAGTATTGCTGTTGGGATATTAATGTCAACTTGATTTTTATTATTTTGTCTACATTTTCTGCTGTTTCATTTCCCTAAATAATAAAGCTTTAGCTTTTTGTTCCATTGGTTTTAAATTCCTGCTCCATTTGCTCCATCAGGTCTGTTTCCTCTCATATTGGTTGCCTATAGCTCATTCTTCATGATGCTTTTGTTCTTTAGATGTGTTATGAGCTTTTCAATTGAGACTTCATCTGTGTTACTCCTAAAACTATCAGTTGCCTCCGCTTTTGATGACTACATAAGTAGTCCATTGAAAATGGAGGCTAGCCCAGCCGGTGTTGCTCAGTGTTTGAACATTGACCTATGAACCATTAGGTCATGGTTCAATTACCGGTCGGGGTACATGTCTGGGTTGTGGGCTTGATCTCTGGTGTAGGGCATGCAAGAGGCAGCCATTCCATGATTCTCTCTCATCATTGATATTTCTATCTCTCTCTCCCTTTCCCTTCCTCTCTGAAATCAATAATATATTTTAAAACAAGAAAAGAGAGGCTAAATTGGTGTCTTCACTGTGAGTTGGGGAAATATGGGTTGAGTGCCTCTACTGCAGTTTCTGGCTTAACTACACTTATTTTCCCTGCCATTTCTTTCTCCTTAAGATGCACATCCCAGTTCTTCTTCTGTATCTGAGACTGCTTTCTCTAACTGGAGTTGGGGAAGACAACCCAGGGTCCCACTGGCTATCTGTGGCTGGCATTATAGATCTCAATGCTGATATCAGAGCTTTAGGGAGGGAGGTTGTTGACATCAAATTCTTTATTATGTAGAACCTTGGCTGTCTCATTTTCTGCCGTGGACTAAAAACAGCAATCAAAGTCCATGCAAAAACCCAACTTTGAGCATATTACCCAAGTTTGCAAACACAACAGATAAGACTCTTTCAGATCCTGTCTAAGCCTGGCCCAATGAGATCACAGCTCCCACCCTGGACTGGACCAAGACTCCAGTTAGAGACTTCATCTTTTGCCTTCTCCCTTCTCTGCTCCTCCCATCCCCTAGCCTTCTCCTGCTCTAGCCCTTTATTTTCTTGTGAGTTTCTCAGAGTTTTGATCCAGTTGTCAAAGTCTGCCTCTGGATTCATTATACCTTCCCATGTCTGCCGGGAGCCGGTCCATCCTTGCTGCTTGACACAGTCGCTGCAGGAAAGAAACATCTGCACAGCATATGTTTCAAGGGACCTGGCATATATAGCATATTGTTCTTAATATGTTTGCTCTCTTTAGCGCCATGTGTTTTAACCAAGGTCACCTCTCCGAGAAAGGTTGTTTCCCCAGGTGGGGATCTTTCCCTGAGGTTAGGGAGGGGATACAACCCCTTAATTAAGTGCCAGGCGGGTAGTTAAGCTACATAATCTTTACTCCCTGGAATGGAGATAAGAAACGCCCTAACCTTTGTAATAGAAATTGACAGGATTAAAATCGGCTGGTATAAATATGGATGTAACAAGACAATAAACATCAGATCCTCATCAGATCATCATCAGATCCTGATCAGTTCCTAACCAGAGCTCCGACCAGAACTTTGGCTGGAGATCCTGGCTAGAGGTCCTGACTAGGCTGCTGATCAACTGAAGGCTGTCTTCGTGTCATTCCTTCTTCGCCGACTCCGTCCACACCTTTGGGGACCCCTGGACCTGCTGGGATTGGACCCCAGCACATGTCTTTGCTGGAAATTCCAGACTTCAATGTAGAGAAGGGAGCCAGCAGGATGCTTTTAGCCCATTGCCTTGATGGAAGCCCAAAGCCCATTCTCCCCATGGATCATACTGGGGATACTCCTTGTGGACCTTCCAGCCCACGTAGAGGTGCTACAGGCTGTGAGGGATGCAGGCCAGGCCAGCTGTGCCGGAGCAATTGGAGTTAGAACCCACAGCGTTAGAATACCTGCCCAGAATTTTTATAGGTGACTGTGAAATGAGGTGAGACTCCCCAACTCTCCCCACCTCAGGCAGACTCAGCAAATTAGCTTAGTTCTAATACCAGACAGTTTTCAAAGGAAGCAAGCACATTTAAATTGCTGGTGACGATGACACACACTCATATCTTCATAATGCACAATTCAATACTTAGAATTTTGTCATGCTTGGAAGTATCTGTATTTCCACATCATTTATCTCTATATCATTACAGAAATTATAAAAGTTTGTATTCTTTAAACAGATGAGTGGAAAAGGAATCTCTTTTCTGTAGTAACAAGTCATGCCACCCCCAACACAAATTTTATTTATTTTATTGGCAAAGTTGCTAGTCTCTTGCTCTATAGTAAATTCTCATTATTCACAGTTATGTTCTATAAAGTCACTACAAACACTGTATTAGCAAATGCTGAACACTGTATTAGCAAATGCTCCTTGGAGAAATATGGAGTTAGAGTCTTAGGAGTCTCTGGTTATAATATTTTCATCAACTAACCAATATGTAACTGGTTTTATGTGTGTTTCTGTTTAAAGATACCTTATTTAATATATATTGTTGATTCATTAACATTGGACTCACAGGTAACAGCATTATAACTCATGCCTGAAGGAAGCTTAATTTAGCACACTTATTTTTTCCACATCACAGCCTCTTGTGCTTAGATATAACAGATAGCACTTTAGCACCATACAGTACTTGGGAGCCATTTCAAACAGCAAATTCATCAATTAAAAAACAAAACAAAACACTCACTAAGTAGACCTTGAAAAGGACACTTGCATACAGTACTAGAGCTAAAACAAGAGGCAGAGCCTTACCTTGCTCAACTTAAACTGGGAATGTATGCATAAGGTGGCTCAAAATTTTCACCACACTCTATATGTTCATGAATGACTGCAACAACTCCCCAATTATTGATTTGGGGGTTATAAATAATTTTTTAGTATGAGAATTTGCAAATATGGAAACCATAAATAAGATGGGTTGACTATTACTTATTAACATTATGCACATTGATGGAAAATAACCTTTTGTTAAAGGAAAGAAGTCTGAAAGCTGCCACATAAAGGGCCTTTTGTTGACTTTGGTTCGCCCCTCACACCTTCACCCCTGCAAACAAACCTCCTGAATCACTAAGAAACATTTGTGCAATCTGCAGCAGTTTAAGGACTACTTACATCCTGCGCCGATCTGGTGGGTGTCTGGTAAAGAGAGCTCCAAAGCCTGTCACAGGCAATCCAGTGTCCCTGGAAACAAGATAACAATTTTAGAAGCATGTCAGACTGGCATTTATGAACTATCAAAGCCATAGAAAACTAACTTGGTGCTAAATTTTTATGATAATTATTTTTAAAGGATACTCATGTTTATAACTTTATGCACTTTGCAAAATAAAATGTCCCAATGTGTAAATGAAAATGTCAGTATTCCGTCATTACTTCAACAGCATTGTCCAATAATTAAAATATAAGAGAAAGTCTATATCACACACTTCCATGGAAAGGTACTGTGCCAGGTTGCAGGACTACAGATATGACTAAAAAACAGTTCCTACCCTCAAAAGACTGTCTATCTCAGGGAAACATACCTACATATAAATAATTAGAGTGTAAGTCCAACTAGTTTACAAAACACAAACAAAATGCTCAAAGGGCAAGGAGGTAAAAGCAATTAATTCTGTTTAATAACAGTTTAGCTAATTCTTAATGCAACTCAGGCAATATTTCTATGCACATTTCATACTTTATTTCATCTAAACTTCAGAAAAACTCTATAAAACTTCATAAAAGTAGATACTTTTATGATTCCCATTTTATAGTGAACAAACTGTGGGTTACAGACACCAAATAACGTTCACAAGTAAATTGTGGAGCTGGGGTTCAAACCTACTCAGATCCTTGACCAGAAAAAAACATGTAAAAATTACATTTTAGCTGGACCCAGAATGAGTAGTGCTGATTGGCAAACTGAGGAAAGGGAATTCCAAACAGAAGGAATGGCATAGGCAGACAGCATGGAGGCATGAGATGTGCTCCTGTGCTTTAAGTGTTCCTGTAGTGTGTAGCTAGTGCCACTAGACCTCTTCGGTACTTACATAACTCCTTTCCTGCATTCCCTATTCCGTAAGCAAAGAAAAATATTAAGAATACCTTTCTTTTTTTTTTTATGTTCAAAAAGTTTATCAGAGATTTTTCATGAAAGTGTCTATAAGGGGCAGGGAAACACGATTGGGTAGAAGAAAATGATAAACTGTGAAGCAGTGTAGCAGAAACATTCCAGAGCTGAACTTAACCTTCATATTTGTCTCAATACCCCTTCATTTTAAGAATACCTTTCAACAATCCCAGAGCACCATGTTTCCTCATTCAATAAAGCACGGCTTTTTATTTGAGCCAATTCTGTGTTTAAAAAAACTCGTGCCGTTTGTTCATGTGTTTCTGAGATCCAAATCTGGAAAAAAAAAAAAAACAGAAGCCAAATGTAAGAAAAATGAATTAATTGTAAAAATAATCAGTTACCAAAATATATTTTTGTTGAAGTAGACTCTGATTTTAATTGTTGACTCAATTGACATTAAAAAATAAGTGATATCTTATAGCAGCTATTTCATCATAAACATGTAAAAATGGCAATTTCTTACTTTACATTGTTGGAAAATAAAAATCAAATTAGTTTTTTCTATGAAATGAAAAGTTCTGCATTCAACTAAATATTAATTATATTTGCTTTCTATTTCCTTCTCAAGTTTAATATATTTTATTTCCCTAAGTAAGGAATTATTTATAGCAATCACTTTATAAATTGAATAGGACTTCAGATATAATCCTCATCATCACCGTCATCATTATCCATTTTCTATCACAGATGATAATTCAATGAATTAGAAAGCAATTATTACTATGAGAAAAATCTGCAGACTGTAAGATGTACACAAACCAATTGCAGATGCAACATGGGTAACATCTAGGGGATCTTGGGAACAAAAACAGACAGTGAGGATTGAATAGTTTCATACAAAACTCTAGAATATCATAAATGTAGAAGTTCACAGCAGAGAACCAGAACTCACCACCACCACCAGAACCCATTATTGTTCCTGATCCTAAAAACTAGGTTCCCCAACACATTCAATGAAGCCCCAGATCTCATTAATCCCATTAGATTTTGTTTATAAAAAAAGAGAAACCACTGATTAGAAATTTGAAGACTTCAACTGCTATCATAGCTATAGTCATATGCCTTTGGTCCACTGTGGGTTAATATAATAAGGCTTTGCAACAACTAGGAATCACCACAACTCAAAGCAATTTTAACTACAGTCTCTGGTCCTACTTCCCTAGTCTATTCCATGGCTCTACAGATCCTTAGCTTCTCTCACCCTGTTCTCTAAGACCACAGCCTCCTAGCCCAATTTCCAAGTTCTCATTCCTATACCCTCAGCTCAACTGCTCCTCTTCTTAGATCCCCAAGTTAACAGGTCAATGGTATAGGACACAGTATAGTTTATGCTTTATAGTTTATGCTTTAATAAAAAAGAAGACATATCTTTGGCAGCAGGGGAAGATGACTAGCCACCATTTTGTTTTAAGGTTTAAATTTGACCCAAAAATTTGCCTTAGTTACGCTCTGATCATTCTTGGCAATGATCACGTCAACAAAGCAATCAACATCTTTGAAAATTTTATGAAACAAATATATTGAAATAATGAGAAGTAAAAGAAAGCAGAAGATAGTAACATTAGTGGAGTTTAAGTTTATTGAGTGCTTATTCTGTGTCAGACACCACATTAAGCACTTTGTATGCATTATTATTTCATTAAATGCTCAAAGCCACCCTACTAATATCGTGTATCAATCATGGTCACAGAACAAAATGAACAAAAAGTAGAATAAAATGGGGAACTGAGGAGAGTTTAATAAAAGAAGTATTTTTAAAAGTATGACCAGCATTCAGAAAACCCCCAAACAATGTTGAAGTGCCATGAGGACACAATAGTGGGGAGCCGTAGGGTAGGGGCAATCACTGGAACCCAGAAAGACCTAGTTGTAAAGAAAGGGCCACTTGATAGTTGTGGCTTTCAGAACAGACACATAGTGTCTTAGTCCACCTTAGGCTGCTGTTATAAATACCATAGGTTGGGTGGCTTATAAACAACAGAAATTTATTTCTCACAGTTATGGAAGCTTTGAAGTCCAAGATCAAGGCGCTGACAGATCCAATGTCCGGTGAAGGCCATCTTTTCACCATGTCCTCACATGGCACCAATCCCATTTATGAGGGCTCACAATGATCCACCTCCTAATACCATCACACTGGGCTTAGGGTTTCAACATTTACTTTTGGGGGACCCAAACATTCTGTCTATAGCACACAGCCACCGACAAACCATGGCTCTGTAGAAAGGAAGCCATAGGAACAAATGAGCAAACCAACTCTCCTCCCACCTCTGAACACCTGTCAGTGCCTTCTACAGGCGAATCCCAACAGGAAGCCAGAGGGCAAGGGAGCTCATTGATGCAATCCATAAATGTCAGCCTCCTTGGCACAGAGCAGGGTTAGAAGGGTAGAGAATGAATCTGGAGGGAGAAAGGAAGAACACTTGGAATAGTTTATCTTCATCTTAAGGGAAAACTAAGGTTGAAAGGGATTAAGAAATGCCCATGTAAACCACGGAAAAAGTAGAAATTTCACAATTCAAAACTCACGCAGTCTGGATCATTCATTCATCCATCCATGTCTATGATGTGCCAGGCATCCTACTAAGTTCTGGAGCTACAGTAGTGAACTCCAGAGGCTATACTGACTATAGCTTAGTGAGTTATAGTAAACCATGAGGATAATGGTAATAACCATAGCACATGGCCAGACACCACTCAAAATGTCTTCACATTACGTGCTCATGAAAACTCTCCTACTCTCACATTACACCTGAGGAAATAAAGACATGGGAAGTTTTAGACTCTTGATCAAAGTTACAACCTAACAAGCAGTGGAGCCAAGAAGCAAAGAGAAGCCATCTGACTCTAGAGCCCACTCTCACCCTCTGTCCTATATCATAGGCAAATGTTATCCTCCAGTATTAGGCTTCCCATCTTCATCATAGAACCCAAAATTTTAGCTGGGACCTTGGTGTTTCAGACTATGTTTTTCTAGTCTCCCTTATGAATAAGTGAAAGTAATTTATACAACCTCCGGGAAAGGTTCCTCTCCTTCCCCCTCCCCGCTTTCTGCTGCATGGAAAGCAGACATAATGACAGGTTTCTAGCAGCTGTCTTGGGCCCTACCCAAATGCTGGAAGAGCAGAAAGCTGGAAGAAGTGGGTCTCTGTTAATCTGTCGAAATTCCATACCGGTCCTGGCCTGCTATCCTCCAGACTTTTTACATGAAAGAATAAAACTGTATGTGAACAGCCACTGTTGATTTGTGGTTTGTGTTGCATGTAGGCAAACCTAATCCTATACCATCTTAATGTGAAAGATCACTTTGGTCTAGAAATGTTCATAACCTGACATAAGGGTGGGTAATTTATAAAAGCACTTCCATATGTTTAAAAGTCTTTTGGGATATATATATATATATATATATATATATATATATATATATATATATATCTCACAAACTGGAGATTGGCAATTTGGTATGTGAATCAGCTAAATTAACACAGCACAAACCCACAGGATAATCACTAACATTTCCATTTAATTTGCATAGTAAAGTCTCACTTGAGTCAAATGGTAATATAAAAAATGTCTAATATGTGTGCAGGAAGTTCACTTCATAATATCATGCTTATTCTTTATTTTCCTGAATAACAATTTATTTTTAGTCCTCACTTGTAATCTTCCAAGATAAACTCTTCCCATATGTGCTGCATTTAAGAAAACCCAGTAGACATATAACCGGGGAGGCTGATATGGGAAACACGCAGGTCACTTAGGACTTACACTCCAATTCCACATTCGAGGGTAACCAGCTTCTTCCTGCTGAGGATGACTTACTCCCTGGCAGAATCTCTCTTGCAACAATTGTTTCAGATGATTGACATTTGAGCTTCTTACAGGATCCCCAGAAAGCATACCCCTCTGACCCATATAGAAGGAAGTGCAGGTACTTCCCAAATCAGTTTTCCCCTCTGATGCCACTGGCTGCATCGGGAATGAGTCAGATTTCAGTCCAAGTCTTCCAACGTCAGGAAACACTGATCAAGTCCCCTGTCTAGTATCCTTGAAGCCTTACTCAAAAGCTTTGAAATGAATGGGACATACTTACTACCCCTACCCCTTGGGGACAACAGGTGTGAGACTCAGCATGCACACTATCTTCAAATGACTCCTCCAAATTCCAAATACTCTCGGCCTTTCAATCTTTTTTTTTTTAATCGTCAAGGTGGATGAGAGGCCAGGGGGCTAAAAATCAGTTGCAGCCCAAATGCTTTGCCTATTCTACATGAGTGATTCAGCACCTCACTTTGTAATGAAGGAGTTGGCATTCATTATCTTAGATCTTTAATTACAAATGAGGAAGTCTTATTTTACCCTGTTAAACAGCACTCCCCTACCAACTGTACCTTTTCTGCACCACTACCAAAAATGTCATTGTCATCAACAAGTAACCAATGAGACTTTGTCAAGTCTTTATCTTTAAAAAGCATCCAAAAGGCTGTTCTTATTTCTCAGCAGCAGTTTTGCCCTTAGAAATGCTGGCTGTTTTCATATCTAGGTGAATTCAGTAGTGCCGTACACAGACTACTTCTTAAAGGATCCCAGAGGAGCAGAGAGGACCCCACCCCATTACTGTTTTGAATAACTGGGACTCATGGAGTACAATCAGAAAAAAAAATTTCATTGGTTTTTTTTTCCACTGCCTGTTTATGCTAGCCTGTTTGGGATGGTTCATTCTCTGTTCTGAGAAGAAATAAATCTTGGACAAGTGCCATATTTTATTCTGATCACTCTCAGATAACAAAACAGTCTTGTCACAACAGTGGTCTCAGTTAAGTAATTAATATTAGTAAAGTTACCCCATGAGAGCTTTTTAGCTGTCTAGTTGTCTGAGAGAAGGAAGGAGGAGCAGAGAAATGAAGAAATAGAAAAACAGTTAAACCTGCCCTGCCCACATATTTCCCTCTGCAGACCTCTGGCCTGCCGCAGACTCTAAATGGCGGCAGGGAAAAGATCTAAATTTAAATGAAATTCATAATTTTGATTATATATTTTAATTATTGAAATGTGGCCAATAGACATAAAAATTGACCATAAAAATGATAGAAACTGCACAGGTTTTATCCAGGGATTGAGAAAAAACTAAGTCCACAAAGTAGGATAAATAGACAGATAAACAGTAGGGGTGTGTGTGTGTGTGTGTGTGTGTGTGTGTGTGTGATTGCACATTTTTAGCTCCATTTGTTCTTGCTTAAGCAAATTAATGTACATGAAAAATTAAATCCAAG